TCTGGAAGGAGTAGAGGAAGGGGAAACCCTAATCAGTACATATATATATATATGAAAAAAATCTATGCTCAATAAAGGGAAAATTAATGGTGCAATGAAGAAATAATGATTGGCATGTATAAATAATATCTTCAAGAAATGCCAGGGACAGCTGGGAATAATCTCAGTTGACAGGCTCCTTGCCTTTCATGCACAAAGTCCTAGGTTAAATTCCCACTATAGCAAAACAGCAGTACAGTAATGCCTGCTTCTGATCCTGTCCTAGCACTTGGGAGGCAGAGGCAGGAAGACGAAGAGTTGAAGGATATCCTTAACTATATAGAAATGTTATGAAAAGAGAAAAGAAAAACCCAGAGAGGCAAAAAGGTTAATATGTGTAGTTTTCAAGGTAGAAATAGAAGGCTTAATATAGAATGTCTTAGAAATCAGGAGGAAACCACAGAGAAAAGGGAAAGTTGACATTAAAGAGGAAGTGTATTGATGAGGCAGCACTGTCATGGATGAAGCATGGGGTGAAAAAGAAAGGGGCTTTCCCTGAGACAAAGGAACAGGAAGAGAAATCAGAAGGAAACAGCTGTATCCTATCTGTATCTGCACACAGGCAGAAGATAAAATTGTTACCAATTACACTGGGCCAGGGCCAACCTTCAAAATGGGAAAAAGGGTAAGAGAACCCAAGAAACAAAAAACTAGGAGGTTGTTTGTTAGAAGGTAGACAGGCCTTTGGAACAGCTATTATATAGGAACCAAAAGGAACTGACAACTACTGTTGTCAGACTGTTCAGGGGAGCTCAAACAAACCATCTAATAATCATGTATTTCTTCTTCTATGCCTAACATAATCTAGTCATGAAGCTTAATAAGTAAGAGGTAGTTCAATCAATGCTCTCCTGGGGCATACTAGAACAATGGAAAGGTACATGCCTTTACCCCTGGCCAGCAAAATCCTACCCACCCATTGAAGTCTTCAACTTATGAAAATCTACATCCATTTGAAAGGAGAGAACCTGAACAGAAAATGCTGATGAAGGGGTTCCCTGTTAGAAAACAACTGCCTAGGCAAGTGTTTTACAAGGTTCACTTGCAAAGGTGTGCAAAGACCATGAGAGTTGTGGTAGAAGGGGCCAGGCTACATTTCAAACTAAAAGAAGAACTTGTCAGTATTCAACTTGGTGCTTGCTCTGTTGGCATACAAGAGCTATGGGGTCATAGAGGATTTTACCCAGGTTCTAGAAAGCCACTAAGGTCTGATCATCTCTGATAGGCTTGGATTCCCTGCAAGAAAGCCCCTGGAGGCCATTCCATGAAGCTATGATAATGGATACTAAGTTGGAATGGAGACTCCAGTTGTTGCAGATACCAGAATTGTGGGATGTCTGCCAAGGGCAGCAACAGGCATGGAATGGAACCAGTTCAAAACAGGTTACGTGCTCAGGCAACAGTACTGGAGGGACACGGCTACCCAAGCCTGTTGGAGCTCAGGTGCTGCCTTAGATGCCAAACATGGAGCTGCACAGAAAATACAAATGATTTTGTATTTCCTATGCTGAGTTTAAGTCTTGTTATTTCTTTGCTATGTCCCTAAATCTCTTTTTGAACGAGAATGTTTAGCCTATGCCATTGAATATTGGAAATATACAACTTGCCATTTGATTTTACAGGGGTTCATAGCTAAGAGATGGATTTGATTCTCAGAAGAGATTTTGGACTTTTGATTTTTAACAACTTTAGAACTATTAAGATTTAGGGGGCTCTTGGGGATGAGTGAAGTGCATTACAACATGGCTATGATCATTTGGAGGGGAGGGGTAATGTTCTGGGTTGAAGGGATGCTTCGATCTTACATTAAAAGGAGGTGAGCTTGTGGCACTTAGTCTTCACCATCATGTTGCTAGATTTAGACTCATGTAAGAGGCACGTCTCTGAGAATGCCCATGAGGGTGTTTCCCGAGAGGAGGAACTGGGGAGGGAAGACCCACACTGAATGTGGTCCATACCATCACAGTCTGGGGTGCCAGATGGATAGAAAAAGAAGCAAGCAAGCGGAGCACCAGTGTTCAAGCTGAACACTAGCTAGCATTCATCTCTCTCTGCTCCCTGATGGAAGAAACAAGGTGATTAGCCCCCTTGCATGACAGTGCAAGATTCTGAGAATATTTCTTACATTTTAAGGGCAGAGTGTATTTTTTTTTTTTTTTTTTGCTGGACCTCACAGCCAGAGTCAACAATACACCTTGAGGTCACTTAAGACTGGTATCCTACTGTGCACTTTGTCTCTTTGTTTAACCTGACTTTAAGACAATAATGAGACAAATTCACTTGCCTTGGATTTCCTACATAATCAACTTTTACAACGTAATCTAAAACATAGGTACTATTTAAAGTTACATTCTCTTCCTTGCCCCAGAGCAATGCTTGCATATCATTTGTTGAAAGCAGCAAATATAGAAGTTGAAAGCAACTTCCCAAAATCTATTATAAAGGTTGAAGGCAATCATTTATAGATATTGGTTGATAAATAATGACATTTTACTGTCTGGGTCAGTTGGCAGTAAGTGATTTAATCTCTCTTAAAAAAACACACCTCTGTTAATGATTTCTGTAAAGTATCCCATTCCTTCCTCATGTGATGTTTTCTATGCTGTTCAGTAAATATAGAGGCGGTCACACCACTGACAGACAGACACACACAGCCACACAGCTCATATAACACACACACACACACACACACAGACACACACACACAGACACAGACACACACACACACACACACACACACACACACACACACACACGAAGAGAGAGATATCCACCGACAGCATTCGAGGCAGGCACAGATTTGGACACATTCAACAGAGAGCGGACAGAAGACAGAGGGAGTGTGAAATAGAGAATTCAGATCTAGACTCACTCTTGGTTAAACAACTCCAAGGGGAAGTGCTTTGTTTCTGTCCTTAATGTGATGGGGATACATTATTGGTGACTCAGGCATCATCATCAGTGAGTTAGAATCCTCACCGCCTTGAGTTTCTGCTGCCTTGTTTTCCACCCCAAAGTGGCTTCATATTCATAACCATGCCTTCATATTTCCAAATACCTGGTAAGTGTTCAAGCTTTCCCTGTTTGTCTCATAATGCTATTTGCATCTTGGCATATCAGGACTTATATATGTCAAATGTAAACTATGTAAATCTCTGAACTAAAACTCATTTTGTATTGGTACAGTTTGAATCAAAAAGTCCTCAATCAAAGAGTCCAAACTCCAAAATACTTAACATTTTTTTGAGCATGGATAAAATCCACAACTAGAAATATCTATACCACAAAGCATTGCCTCATGGAGGAAGTTATTCAAAATATTGTATAACATCTTCAGGTTGGCGTGTAACACTTAATATAACATATAAAAGAAATTTCTATTCAGACTTGGATTCAAATCCCCACATAATATCCCATCCCCTCACATAATTGAAAACATGAGACCATATGGTCTTAAACATTTTTAGATAAATGATACTGAACCCAAAGTAAAAATAATTTACTAAAAACAGTTTGTCATCAGTGAGTTCACATGCTTATTCTTTGGCTTAGGATTTTATAAGTAGTAACCTTTAATTCACAGAGGCAGTACTGCCTGGCTGTCACAGGCACCCAGGGTACAGTGCTTCTAAGCTGAACAAGCACCCAAGTTTATGCAGGACACAGAACTGAAACTCTTTAGCAATGCATTTTCTTATCCTTCCTTATTCCTAAGAGGATGTGAGGTAAGTAACTTTAGGCATTAGCATTTGATGCTAGCTTTATAGAAGATATTTTCAGTTTCTTATTTTGTAGCCTAGTGTAACGGAATGCTGGGTATAGAACACCATTTATAAATAGGCAATGTGAATACACACAGCAATGCAGGAACAGCCTGTATTCACATTAAATTCCCAAACTAAAATAGAGAGGCTATAAAAGCACCAAGCATATGAATTTACACCATTTAAAAATCAGCTCTGTAAATGTTTTATGTTTACATTTATACTATGCTCACGTGTTTATATTTGTTCTATGTTTGCCTGGCCGAGATAGTGGTTTTCAATTTCTGCCTGAGCACCATTGAGAATCTTAATAGAATTCTTTGCATTTTTCTTTTCTCCTAGTTTTTTTTTTTTTTCCCCCTAGGATATTGCAGAAGCAAAATGAGGCTTATCTGTACAGGCCATGCCCTCCTCACCCCCAAACAGGAAGAAGAAATGTCACTTGCCACTCATTTCCAGAAAGTATCTTGCATTCATTAGCATTCGGCCTTGAGGTTTCAGCTCTAACTGGGTGAGAGAAGGAGAGAAATATCGTCAGAATGGGAAGCCAGCCCTGGCTTTGGGTCCTCCTAACTAGCTACTTGGATGATGGCAGATTTTCATTACAGAAAAGATCTCCGTCCTTCTCCGCTCAACCTCATCATCATCATGTTCATTGTTATCAGAACTGTGCAGCTTCTGGGAGGCAGGCTGTACTTTTACAGAATGCCTTGGCAATTTATTCCTTCTACTTGAGGATCAAAATTGACGGAAGAAACACAATTGGGAAACAGAATCTGCTTTCCTACAGGGAGCTTACCTGAAGAGCGTAAGAGCATAGCCCCAGATATTAATCATGGCAGAAGTATCCAAGACTTGTTCACATGGAGGAAAGTAGGTCTTACATAGTAACAACAAGTCCTGCTCTGAGGGGGGCCTTCTCTTGCTTTCTGTGTGGGCTGCGCATCCAGGAAGATCAGGGTATATTCCATAAAACATATGGAATATATGTGGAATGTATGGAATATATTCCATTCTTTTTCTACCACAAGCATTTATAAACATACTAAAGGAAAGTTTTAATAGGTGATTCTTGTAAATTTATATATTATAGAACATTTTGAATATTATATACATTCTATTATATATGCATGTGTGAGTAATTAAATTATCCGGTTATATATTTTAGAATAAGTATATGCATAGTTTCTATATAGTCTATATATTATTATAATTATATAAGTACTGCATATACATTATATATATATATATTTAAAAGTATTATGTAAAAGATACCAGAGCAAAGTGTCATTTTAAAGGGCTTATGCAGGATACAAGATCCCATGTAATGTGACATATACAGGAGTAAAAAATGACAGATCCCTTTTGGAGATATCTACATGAATATATAAATATATATACATTTATGTGTATGTATATATACATATGTATGCATATATATGTGTTAATATGTAAACCCCACCTACTATGCCATTAGTGAAGTAAATAAACTAAATAAGAAATGACTCAAAGGTGACTCAAAGTTGACCATTAGAGCACTGGTTGCCTGGACAAAAGAGCAGTAACAGGAAATGTTTTGTTGAACCCAGAATTTAAACTGAAATCATTGAGAAGCCATTTCTTGGCTACTTGACCTTGTGCAAATCACTGTCTTCAGAGAACTCTAAAAACCTGACAGCGCCCTGCCATCAGAGTTTTATGATGTAATAAAGCTATGTTTTTGGAATAACTATAAATTCTCACACAAACTTAAACAGATTAATGTAAAGAGAAGTGCTTTAGACCATAAGACTGGATACCACCCTTTTCTAATTTCTGGTATAGTTAAAATGGAGGTAAAAACAGAACAAGAAGGGGGTGGGGGCTTGGGGAACATTTTAAAAGAAAACTGAAATCTGCTCACCACAGCATTACTGGCACTCAGTGTAGTGATGGTGGAAAAAATTAAATCAGGAAGCTATTGGAAAGTCATGTTTTATAGAGGACCAAGGAGTTGGGGAGTGACTGGAGAAAACCTTACAGATTCTTGCAACCCTGAGAAAAACAAAGGAACTCCCAGGGTTGCCTTTACAGTAAGGTTGGACATGAAAGGCAAATTTGAGAAAATCTTTTTTGTTAAAGAAATCCATTTTAAGACAGCTGATATATACTTATATATGTAGATATCTCCAAAAGGATCTGTCATGTTTACTCCCTCTATATCACATTACATGGGATCCTGAATCCTGCATAAGCCCTTTAGAATGACACTTTGCTCTAGCATCTTCTACCTAATTCTTTTTATAACATATATATGTGTGTATGTATATACTTGGTACTTATATAATTGTAGTAATATATAGAATATATAAATATGATGCATATATTTACTATAAAATACATGCCATATTTAATTACTTGTAAGTATTTATTACAATTTATTCACTTTGTATCTGGCTGTGGCCCCCTCTCTCATCTCCTCCAAATCCCACCCTTCCTCCCTCTTCTTCCCCTATGCCCCTCCCCTAGTCCACTGATAGGGGAGGTCCTCCTCCACTATGACTCTAGCCTATCAGGTCTCATCAGGACTGGCTGCATTGTCTTCCTCTGTGGCCTGGCCGAGCTGCACCCCCCAGGGGGAGGTGATCAAAGGGCCAGCCACTGAGTTCATGCCAGAGACAGCTCCTGCTCCCCTTACTAGGGACCCCACTTGGAGACTGAGTCTATGGGCTACATCTGAGCAAGGGTTTTAGGTACTCTCCATGGTCCTTGGTTGGGTTATCGGTCTCTGCAGGGCCCAGAGCCCAGTTTTTCTTGGCTCTGTTGGTCTCCCTTTGGAGCTCCTGTCCCCTCCATGTCCATACCATGTAATTTAATTACTAATATATACATATATAATTTAATGTACATAACATATATCTATATAAAATTTTCAAGAAGCACCTATTAAACTTTTCTTTCCTCCTTATTAAACTTTTCTTCACTCAGTTTACAAATGCTTATGATAGAAAACAAATACTCCATGGAACACACCATGGTCTGTACCCACAGAAGCAAGAAAAAAAATAAATAAATTCAAAATAAACTGAGGGCACTTGAGATAAAAGTAAATCAAGAAATAACCTTAGGGAAAAAAGGTTTGAAAACACAGAACGTGTGCTAGTTGGCTCAGGAGGACATGAACGCCGCTACGTACTGATGCCCAACAGCCCTAGGCTGGAGAACGAAGTGTCTCATAGTGTACACTCATGTTCAGAGCAAGCCTGCAATTCCAAAACTTGTGAGTCTGAGGCAGGAGGACTGCTGAGAGTTGAAGGCCAGCCTGGCTCACATTAACAAGACTCCATCTCAGCGAAATAAAATAGAAGAGGAGCAAGAGGAGAAAATTTGGCAAAACCTGGGATACAGAATTAAATGCAACTTTAAAGAGATAGAAACAGAAAGGCAAACTGTTTGTGAATGAGATCTATGAATTATTATAAAAGGATTTAAAAAATCTGATTAGCTATCCCTTCACTGAGAAGGAAACATAGATAGGTTATCATTATAGAATTTAGGAAGCTAGTTAATTTCCTCATTATAAGTTAGATGGAAAGTAGAAAACACACGGGAATAGGCAGGCACAGAAAAGGGGGTGCGGTGTCCATAGCTTGTCTCTTCCTTCTCCTTGCCTTGCCAAACCCCTCCTGTGCTTCAGGCTCAGCCAGAGCCCCACATCTTCATCGGCTTGAATTGTATAACACCAAAACACCAAAACAAAACAAAAGCAAAACCATCTGCAGTATCGTGCACTTCTTCAAACTTCTTTACTGGCCTAAGCAGCCATTCCCACGGGAGTTGGGGTTGCCAAAATCCTCTCCCCAAACGGGGTGAAGGAATGGACCATGTGTACAGGTGAATGACATTGCCTCAATAGGCATAAGCACAGGCATCTTAAGTAAATCATAGATGTTTGTCTTTAAACGTTAACTTAGTGACAGAAAGAATTTTTGTACTTTTCTTAAGAAGCCAAAACCAATGTGAGGCCATAAGCATACAAAAATGTCAGTTATAGGTTTCTATCATTCCCGTGTGAAAGCTGTAACTTGAAAGGTTTTTAGAAGTCTTGCTAAAATCTGAATTATAGAGAGAAATTGGGTAGAAAGGTGGAGATTCTTGCTACTTCAGCATAAATGACATAAACATATAAAAACATTCCCTGGATTTCAACCTACATAGGAGGCAGTTTTATAACCCAGAAATTCTCATTTGTTTGGTTTGTCCTTTCATATATTGCTCTCTTCTTTCCTATTTCTAAGCATCTGCTGCCCACATAGTTACAATCTAGTTTTCCCCAAACCTAATGTGCCATCATGAATTGTGAGTGACATAAGTATAATGTAAGATAAAGTGACTTCGTTATGGCTGAAAGAAACATTGGCAAAGGCTTGAGAGAGAAAACCAGATATGAGATGAGTCTTGTTCTCACACTTGGACAGGGTGATAAGTAGATACAAGCCTTCCAATAAAAGGGAATTAGTGGTATTTCCAGGTGTATCTTAAGAGTAACTTATAGCCCGAGACCCTCCTCACCATACATAGCCATCAAAGAGATTTGAAGTTTTCAGTAACACTCTGCAGTTCATGAATAGCCATTGTTGTTTTCAAATCAGCAATGGCTAATGTACTCAAACCTTAAGGATAGCAGGAACATTTCAAGCTACCACAACAGGTAGGATCACGGTGCACACTAGCTGTGCATACCTGTAATCCTAGCACTTGGGGGGTGGAGGGAGGAGTATCAGAAGTCCAAGGTTTGGGTGTCTACCCTGCACACAGTTCCCAGCACTGACAGTTACCCATATTTCGGTCCTCCCATTGTTCTTGCGACATCTCTCGGCAAGCGAGTAGAGCTCCACGGTTGTTTCTGAGATGAGGTCCACGTTCTTGCCTTTCACGATGATCTGCATCACCCTTCCCTTGTTAATGTGGGCATCAAAGGTGCTGTCCCAGGGCGGGTACATGGTCGGCTTTTTCTGGATGTACATCTGCCCGTTTTCTAGGAAGAGGAAAACAGTGTCTCATTGCTCTTCTGCAAGCTCTGGAGAATAATTCAGTTCTATTTAACAGCGACAGCCATTCGTGCTGCTCTGTTATACATAACTCTGAGGCAAAGGCAGAGCTAACGCCCTCTGAGACACTCTAGGGCAGATGAGAGAGGACCATTGTTAGATGCAAGGAAACATGTTGAGTCTTATAAATCCACTATGGATAGTTTAAGCAACATGTGAGAACGACTTAAGCTGCAAATGTTTCTCATATAGTGTTTTGCTTCACTTTGAAAATGAGCTTCTGGGAAAACAACCTTTCAAAAACCTTCTATGGCTGGGCATGGTTATGGCTGGGCCCGGCGATAGGCACGTATAATGCCAGCACACAGGAGGCCGGGGTAGGAGGATGGAGAGTTCACAGGCAGTCTGTGCTATGTAGCAAAACTGTGGCTCAGAAAATCACAAGCAACAAAAGTGCAAGAAACAACCACACTCAGGATCTCCATGCAACATACTACCACCACCAACAAAAACTTCCAAACTTTTATGCCTTTTAAAATCTTCCTTTGTTACTCTATAATAGCTTTGTCATATGGCTGACTAATCCCACTGGCATCTGGTTTAAAAAAAAAAAAGAATAAGTCCTGATAAAACTACTGTAGTCATGTGAAAGACACTTATAAGGAATAATCCTTCGTTTTTAAAAAATTATGTCTTATTTGCCACAAACACATAGAAGCAATAATAGCCTTTAAAACAAGTGAGTCCTTATCTCCATTCCCCTCCCTCCAGACAGGTGTCACTACATAGCCTTGACCAGGTTAGCCTCTAATTCACTGTGTAGCCCACGCTAGCCTGGCACACTCTACCTTCCCACCTTAGCCTCTCAAGAGGCCTGAGCTCAGCCATGTGTCTCTACACTCAGCTCCCTTCTCTTATCTCTGCATGGAGATGTGTTTTACACTCCTCGAGCACCCTCGGCTAAAGCGGGCAGGTGGGGCAGAGGGAGCAGTGCAGCCAGCAGCAGATCTGCACGTGAAGACAGGCAGGAAAACAAAGGCCCTGGCCACCAGGCTGATCTCGGCACAAGAATCTCTCCTGGAAGCCACATGGCAGGGACGAGAGTTTGCAAACTGAATAGAGTCATTCCGTTAATCTTCTACTCACATTGGGTTTTCCCTGGTGTTTATTCTTTGATCGGTTCAATAGCAGAGGAGTTGTAGCAGTGTTTTATTTATTCTTATAATAATGAGTCTATTAAATATCATATTCAGCAATTCAGAGATATTAGGAGGGCAAAAGAAAAGATAAATCTATTTTAAATAGGAATGTGATGTTGTTCTGACATTCTTCTGTAACACAGGAGGCTAAATAGGACGGGCATTTAGCACTTATATCTATCACTTATCCTGAAGATATCCAAAGAGCTGAAAAATCTGGAGTTTCAAACCTTAGAGAAATTTGGCCAACGGAGGCATAAACTATCACGCTGTTAAGAATTGAATAGGAAGGAGGTGACTCTAAAAAAATTGATATAAATTTTTATTAATTGTTTGAGAATTTCATACATGCATACAATGACTGTATCATGATAATGTTCACCTTCATTTTTCTTTCTAATTCCCCCCAGATCCACTTCTGATGCACTCTCCACACCCTGCTTCCTCCAGCAAGTCCAATTTGTACTCTCCATGTATTCATTCACATGGGGACATCCATTGGAGCCTAGTCAACCTTCCAGAGGCCACACTTTAAAGAAGACTGACTCACTCTCCCTCAGAAACCACCAACTGTCAATAGCTCTTCAGTTTGGGGTTAGGAGCTCATGAGGGGAAGATTTTTATGGTTAGGTTTTTTCTTAAAAAAAAAAAAAAGGAGTGATGATTGGGTTCTTTGAAAAACAATGATATTATTAACCATAGTCTCTTAGTTCCCCTATCAAATTATTCCTTTTTGCTATAACCACTCTCCATGCTCAGAGAAGAGTAGGCATCCAGGAGGCAAGCCAGTCACTAAACATTTTCAGTCACTAGGTTAAGAATTACCTAAAAAGAATACCAAATGCCTAAAAAGAACTCAAATCTTCTTGTTCTAGTTTTGTTTCTGTTGTGATAAAAAAAAATCGCCTGACATAAAGTGACTTAGGGGAGAAAGGGTTTATTTGGGTGGAAATCCCAGGTTACAGTCTGTCACAGAGGGGAAGTCAAGCTGAGAGAGAACTCAAGTAGCCAGTCATAGCACCACCACAATCAAGAACAGGGAGCACCATATTCATACAGATGTACTTGCATGCTTGCCTGCTTTTGATTAGTTTTTACCTCTCTTATACTGCGCATGAACAGTCAAGATAATTCCCCCAAAACATGTCCAAGACCAACATGATCTAGGCAATTCATTATCTCTCCCAGAATCTCTTTGATACTGCACTGTGTCAAACTGATAGTTAAAACTAACCAGCATATCTGTCTACATGTGCATGGTAAGGGCTGCTGTTTTCGAAGGCTCCCAGGCTAACAGCACTGTTTCCTGTTTGTTCCCATTCCCCTGACTCATCATGAAAAATGCAACCTCACACCCCAAATTTGGCAACTTGTTTAAATTCTACAGAAGGAATCTTTGAATGGGGTAATGTCTAGAGTGATTTCTTTTCAGAATGTAACCTGAACAAAAAATTGTAAAAAACAAGTATCGCCTGTTTTCCCCCGACATCTTAGTGAGGCTACGGTGGTGGTTGCCACTCTCTGAGCTTCGCCATGCTGCCCAAGGATGACAAGAAGAAGAAGGATGCCGGGAAGTCAGCCAAAAAAAGACGAAGACCCAGTAAATAAGTCTGGTGGCAAGGCCAAAAAGAAGTGGTCCAAAGGTAAAGTTCGGGACGAGCTCAACAATCTAGTCTTGTTTGACAAAGCCACATAGGACCAATTATGTAAGGAAGTTCCCAACTCTAAGCTTATTGCTCCAGCTGTGGTCTCTGAGAGACTGAAGATTCACTGTTCCTTGGCCAGGGCAGCCCTTCAGGAGCTACTTAATAAAGGACTTATTAAGCTGGTTTCAAAGCACAGAGCCCAAGTAATTTAGACCAGAAACACAAAGGGTGGAGATGCCCTAGCTGCTGGTGAAGATGCATGAGCAGGTTCAATCAGCTGTGCACTTGGAAAACAAAACTTTATTAAATAAAAATAAATAAATAAATACCCAAAGTTCACAGGCCCACCTATTGCAAAAGCAGTTTTGTTCTTTTTCTGACAGGGTCTCTTGATCCATATGGCTGATAAGATCAGGTTCAAAAGGAAGGCCAAAAGAAGAGGAAGAGAAAAAGAAAGATCCGCAGGAGGCAAATGTCAGTGAGGCCTGAGGTTGGAAAGAGACCCAGATCTATGAGACCCATTAAGTCAAAAGCAGCTGTGAAAAAAAAAAAAAAAAAACCTCAGCCATTTTACACTTCAAAGATGTCTGTGACATTTGAAAGAGTTTACTGGGAGCAAGCGGCATTTTCCATTTTTAAGACAGTGGAGAACTTTGGGTAGAAGAGAAATCAAGAGTTCCCCGATAGTCTCCCAAGCTTTGATGCACTCTGAGAAGCTCGAGGGAGGAAGTGAGAATGAAGGGAGATGGGGTGGGGGCCACAGCATGGCAGAACTTGGAATCCCAGAATTCAGACTTCCAGCATCTAGCTGGAGGTTCTTAATGCATGGCTCAGTTTCCTCTTCTATGTACAAATGCTCCAAACCCCTGGTAGAGACCCTTTTAGGGGCACTCCACTGAGAAGAATGTTCACTTCTCCAGCCCCTTTTTCCTCGTGCCTGGATTTGTCTTCTCAGCCCTCATTGCTGGTCATGACACCATAACTTTGCTGATCTCCTGTCTTCCTCTGTGGGACTGGAAACTCTAGAGGAAGAGCCCTCTATATGGACACTTTTAGTGTGTTTCTCTGCCTGCTCTAGCTTCAGGGCCCTCATAGTGGCTTTCCAATCAGTGCTGTGTGTATGTAAATAAATTGAGAGACCTTCTCTACAATTAGATGTCTGTTTTTGGGGATATGGAACAAGGCATCAAAGTTGAGAAGGTCTTAGAACAAGTAGCTTCCTATCTTTCCTTTGGAAGGGACTTAATGTTAAAATGCAGGGGTGTGGATCAAGTGGGAACCAGAGGCATCATCAAGGGATTTTTCTACCCAATGGGATTGCTTTGACAAAGTTTCCTAAACCCATAAAATCAGTCTCGGGTACATGCCCCAGATTTCCTCCTGTATATTGCCTGTATATAGTCCCAGTTAATAAAACAGAAATATTTTTTTCTTCATGTAGAATACTGGCTGATTAAACATCCTTCCTCTCTTCCTCAGCTGAGACAATGGCACAACAGCAGTCTTTAGAACTGATTCTTAGTTCTAGGATTAGTCAGGCTCAATTTACCTTTCAAGGACTCTTGAAAACAGTGAGCTGTCAGTAGACGTGATACAGAATATACTACACCTCACTAGATTTTGTTCTTCATTAACTCCTTATAATTTCCCCAACTTAATATTCCCCTTATTTTTGTTTATGTAGGAGAAAAATGACACAGTGATTCTGGCCAGGGTCCATCACTAAAGCCTGGGTCTTTAAGGAAGAATGTAGCCTTTGTTGGGCATCAGTGTCCTGCACTGTGATAATCAGTTCCATCAGATGACCTGGAAGGTCATGGAAGGTCTTGTCTCCCACACGCTTGCCTAGCCTACCCACACCCTTTCTTCTTCCTTCCCCACCTTGACCCCAATTAACTTACCTGATTCCACATACTCCTTGACAAGCACAGCACAGTAGGGGTTCACAGCCTCTGCCTGACAAGACTGGCAGGTCCCACAGTCAAAGTTGGATAAACCAATTCGAAGAAATGGTGACATGGTTGTTCCCTAGAAAAATGACAAAAGACAAGCACTGTATGTATGGGGCTCTAAGACGTATTATTTTTAGTGTTCCATCTCCACTCGGTGTTTTATCTCGGACAGCCAGCACTTCCAATGGGCGTGCTATCCATCTGAACAAATGTGTTATTTCCTTTTCTGAGAAGTATATTGCTGGGCTCTCCCTCAGCTGCAGACTGGCCTGCAGAGGAAGGGCTCTTTGGAAAGTCTGTGGCTAACCTCCATGGTGAGAACTAAGGGTTAATTCTGCTCAGTCTAACAGTCATGTTTGATAGCTGCACAGCAAGGCAAATGTTTTTCAAGGTTTTGTTTCTTCAAGTAGGTGCCCAAAGCAGAGTAACCAGAAAAGGAGTTTATAAAAACTAAGTCTATTTAAATCACACCAGTTAAATATGACACCACAACATTCTTACACAGTCTATCTATGTGTGTCATGGAACTGGCTCTCTGCAGTTAGCAGCTGATCTCTTGTCAGAGACAAACACACACTCAAACAAACAAAGCAATTAAGCTACTGAATGCTATGAACCACTTAAAAAAAAAAAAACCTCTAAACCATTGAGCACTGTATGATCGTGTCTCATCCTAATGGCAAAGTACGTCACAGATGCCAGTGTTCTTAAAATGTTTTCTCAAAGCTTGAGACAGAAAGAACCATGAGGTTGGCTACAGGTTTCAAGACCTGGTGTGATTCTCTCTTTTTTAAAGATTTATTTTACTTTTATATATGTGTGTGTCAGAGTGTATGTGTGAATGTGTACACATACCCAAGGAAGCTGGAAGCTGGAGCTAAGTACCCTGGAGCTGGAGACATAGACAGCTGTGAGCCACTTGATGTGAGAGCTGGGAACCCATCTCTGGTCCTAAGAGCAGCAAGTGCTCTTTGCCACTGAAGCATCGCTTCAGCACTCTTAGTCTGAATCTTTCTCTGCTGCCCATTTCTGCTAGCTCTGCCATTCACCTCCACTAAATACCTTTCCTTTATTTTCTTGCATGTATATATGTGCGAATGATAAGCATGCGTGTTCACATGTGTGCGGGCGCATGTGCTTGTGGGTTCATGCCCATGTAAGAGGCCTAGAGTAGACACAGAGTGTCTTGATTGCTCTCCACCTACTTGTTCAGGGAGGGTCTCTGGTTCAAGCCAGGGCTTGTGAATTTCTGCAACTCCAGCTAGCTGGCTTGTCCTAGGATCTCTATATCTGTCTCCTGAGTGTTAGGACTATAGGCTATTGCCATACTTGCCTAGCTTTTATGTAGGTGCTGGGGATTTGAGTCCCTGTCTTTGTGCTTGTGGGGTAAACACTTTCCACTAAGCCTGTCTCCCAAGCTCCACTTTTTCTTTTTCGCCTACTTCATCTTAAGTTCTTATAGGTCTGAAAACTGTTAACTAGTGCTCAGTTACAAAGCATTAATTTGAAACATTCTTCTCTTGTTCTAGTTCACAGTATACTAGTAAAGGTAAAAAAAAATCATTTTGATTTGAATCTAGAGGGACTGTTGACTCATAAAGCCTGAATTACTACCATGCTGACCTTTGGTGACTCATCATGTGCTATTTCCAGGTTGGGCTCCTAATTGAGCAGCAGCAGCTCAAAATGAATCCACCTCAGAAATAGATACAGACCTCTAGGTTTACCAGGGTTTATGTTACAGTATGGAAGTATACTACAGAGGCCTTGTATAAGTAGCAGAGATTTCTTATTTTAAAAAATGATGCAAATTTGTGATTTCCCCAGATTTATTTATTCAACGTCCTCCCCCAGAGCATTTTGACAATTTACTCAATACTAGTGTCTGTTTTCCCGCCTAGTCAGGGCTCCCTTTTCAAAGGTCTGATCATGGTGGCATGATAAGACAAACATGTTGACATCTAGATGACAGAACAGGAATCCTGTGACTATATATGCCAAGGATAAAGAAGATCTGTGAAACACACCAGAGGATGAAATTAACATAGAAATGTTTTGAGTTCCTTTTGAGGGCCCAGAGCTCATGGGGAGAAGAGAGGAAATCTTCTTGGGTATTAAAATAGAAAGCAGAATTTGTTGCACACAAACAAATGTGCATGTGATTCAGGATGCCTGAGGACTGGGATTGCAAAGTTCTCTTTGGTGAGCTGTACATGTCAGTTTTCTCTTTCCTCGCCATCCACAGAAATCTTACAAGTCACAACACATGTGTATGGAAGATGACTGATAGGCCAAGCTGTTTCTAACAGGGCAGGGATCAAGCCCTTCTGTATACTTAGCTGAGCAATCAAGTCCTGCGTCCCACTTTCTCTCTCATTTCCATATGCATCCCTGTATGTACCCAGCCAGCAGCATCTGGAAAGTGCCATCTTCCTGTTCAAATCTGCTTCTCCCCTTTCCTTTAATTAAATGATAGCCCTGGCTGACCTGGAACTCAATATGTACCAGGCTAGCCTAGAGCCCAAAGGCCTCCCTGTCTGTCTCCGAATACTGGCATTAAAGGCCTCCCAGCTATCCTGTCCTCCTTTTATGCTTCCATTTCAATGACTAATGTCATGACACCTAGCCTGGCTCTCTGCTTTGACTTCGCCCTGTTGCTCTTGTGTCACAGCCTATTTGCATGATATCTGCCCTCCTCCTTCCCCTTCTTCATTGCTTAACTCCATAACATCCTTTCCTTGCACACTGAAGCAGATTACATCCCAACCCCCATCTGATCTTGGTCACTTTTCATTCCCTGACATCTTCATGCTGCAGCCCAAAGGATCTTAGGATCCTGCAGAACTACAGCTGTTTCACAGCTCTAGACTTTGAGGAAAACCATACCCTGGCCCTGGAATATCTCCCTATTTCATCATCCCATCTTACATTTCTGTACCTTCCCCATCCTTGAAGTTCCCATCCAGTCTTAGTTTCTTCCCATTTCCTCCATCACCTTCTTGTTTACACATCTTTTCAGGGTTCCTTGGCCTCCTTGGGACACTGGACAGAAACTGCCTTTTTTTTTTTTTTCCTTGCAGCCACTTCTAAATCTGAGCCTCAAACTATTATCTGGTATCCAATAACCAGGCATTCCTTGCTTCTCTCTCTTCATAAACTGTTCTATCCTCATGTGAATCTCCAGATTCATGCCTATGTTTCCAGATCGAAGCCACCATACACAGGGCTCCAGTGGAAATGCACTAGAGTTCTCTTGCATAATCCCTGGAATGCATCAGTCACTCAGAAGAGCGGTCCAACTCCAAGCACTAAAATCAAAGCTCTCATATAGAAAAACTTACCAAGTCTCCCTCTGCTTGAATGCAAACTGAAGGTGTGTTGTTCTTGTCCCTGAAGGAGAATGAATGGAGCTCTGGAGATACTCTCATAGTTGTCCCCACACATATGTGCATATATATATACATATATATATGTATATATATATACATACATATACATATATATATATAATGTATGTATATATATGAAAAAACCTTCTTGTGTGTTTCTTTCCTGCAAAAAGCATCTGACTTTCACACAGAGCCCAGACAGCTGTAGAGTAAGCACACCCCTATCGAAACTTTCCAGCACCTGTCACAGGCAGAAGATCCATGCTCCCTTGAGCCCAGCTGTGGGAGTTATTTAACCTCTCTAAGCCTGTTTGCCCATCTGAATGGACTGCTATTACCATCAGCACCCTCAAAGGGCTGTGAGAATTAAATGGACAAACACGGAAGATGCTTGAAATGAGATTGGCACCCAGTAAGCTCTCAATAACTGTTAGTTATTAGTGGTAAAACTCTGATATATTTGCTAATAGTCTCTCTCTTCTTTATTGATTTGTATCAAATTGGGCAAGAGGAGAGGATAAACAGTCTTTTAGGGGCATATCTCAGCTGAATTATGTGACCTGTGTCTCTGCTTTGCTAGCATGCCCTCATAAAACCCTACATATATCTCTCCTATAGTACTTACTACCCTCTGATACAATCATCTTGGTTTAGCACTTATCATGATAGATAGCAGCATGCCCATGCAATCTTCGATGCTTTTACTATTCCAGCTAAAAAATACTACCATTGCATAAACTCGAAATTTCTGAAGGAGCTTCACTTCAAAAACAAGCTCAGTGTTTTCACTGTTAGGTATGATCAAATTTGTCTTTGACATAGATTTGATGTTATACAGAGTTAGGTATAATCAGCAGTCTATGTGAGTTAGGTCACAGGAACTGAGAATTCTGGTGTTTTGCTCATGTATTTCTTTTACCTGTAAGGACACATGGTGTTCAAATGGAATGACAGGAAGTTGCAAAGGAAAGTTCCCAGCACTTGTTATAAGCAGAAAATGAATGTTCTCAGGCTGGAATTACACACACATACTCTCTCTCTCTTTTTCTGGCTGTCTTTCTATTTGTATCCATCTCTCTGTCTGTCTCTGTCTTCGTCTGCCTGTCTCTCTCTCGTCTGTCTGTCTGTCTCTCTCTCTCGTCTGTCTGTCTGTCTCTCGTCTGTCTGTCTGTCTGTCTGTCTGTCTCTCTCTCTTGTGTATGTGTTGTAGGCTCTGACCTGTGCTCTTGGCTTACGGACATATCAAGGTGTGAACACCTCCTCTACATAGTTCTACTTGCATAGACAGAGCCACAAAAGCATTGTTCTGATTAAATTACTCCAATGCCTAAGAAAATGCTATGACTCTTCATTGAGTTAAATCATAATTCTGTATGCCAGGTGGTGGTGGCACACACCTTTAACTCGGGAGGCAGAGGCAGGAGGGCAGGAGGATCTCTTGAGTTCGAGGCCAACCTGGTCTACAAAGTGAGTTCCAGGACAACCAGAGCTACAAGAAGAAACTCTGACTTGAAAAACAAAACCAAAAGAAAATGAAATCATAATTCTTGGTCGGACATTTCAAATCAAAGTCTTCATGTTTTGGGTTCAACTAGTGCCTACAACCTTCTGATTGCTTAGAGTGGCCTGGTTCCATCTTGGGATCTCTGTTTGCATGGCTCCTGTTTCCATGCCTTCATCCATCCAA